TGCTTTCAGGATCTCACCACATAAGCCACACACCCGCCATGCTCCCCACTTCTGCCTGTCTTTCACACACCTACCAGGGCATACTGTAGTGCACTCAGAATTCCGCCCTCGAGTGCACAACCTGAATATTTTATAATCTCTATGCTAAGGTTAGGATCCAGCATGTTGGGTGCCGGTGTTCAAATTGTCAGATCCAAACTGTCTTGTTCGAACTGGCAGGTCCGAACTCCTAGGTCCTAATTGACAGGTCCGAACTGTCAGGTCCGAACTGTCAGGTCCGAACTGTCATGTCCGAACTGTCATGTCCATATCCCTAGCAGCATTTTGTAATACCATGATGGCTGACGTGCGCCCATTGCATGATTAGATAGGGCGAGTTAAACCCTTTACACACAGAAGTAGTGCTGGAGGAGTCATCCATCTTGCCAGTGGGCCAGTCAGCCGGAGTGTGTATAAGGAAGGGCCCTAAGATCAACTTCCCAAATGACCCGAGATGTATTTGTGAGGTCCTGCCTCTAGCCGACAAACAGGTCTACATCATTGAGGAAGGCATGGTTGCCAGGTTCTCATTAGCTAGTTCGTAGATCTAAACGTCGTGATCCCTTGAAGCTCTGATGAAGTTCTCAGTCGGGTCCCTTAGGCATTCTATTCTAGGAGTTCGTTCTACCAAGACGTAGTTTGAGCTTGTCTGACGTCTGAAGCATCCTACTACGTTCTCCAACATCAAGTTAACCCACTTCGCTTGTTTTGGTGTAACCGGCGCGCACCAGGAATCATGTCCGTAATTATATTGTAATCAAGTTCATTGAGTGATTAACATAAGCAGAGTCAGCACAAGGTACCCTCAGAGCCAAACAGCGCCCAGTGTGCTGTTGTGAATCAAGAAGCAGCAGTCATTAGTTGCGGTATACTCTTGCAGGTGTGTCAACAAACACTGTGTGGGCCGCCGCATTGTTCCCGTGTGTTAGAGTTTGCCATAACTCCTATGAGTGGAAAATTAATTTTGCCGCCGCTTGCCAAGTGTGATTTGGCGTTGAACGTCGCCGCGCGTACCCGCCACTAGCCATCTGCGTCACCAGCTGCCGCTAAGCCGCCACTCACGCCACCAGCTGCCGCTAAGCCGCCACACACGCCACCAGCTGCCACAAAGCCGCCACACATGTCACCAGCTGCACCATGGTCGCCGTGCTCACTCCAGCTGCGTCACATTTCAGAAATTCCTATCAAGAGAAGGAGAACTCCCTGAACTGAAACTGTTGACAATAAACCAGGCAGCCTTTGAAGATTTTGACATTACCAGAGATGAGGTAACGAGGCATCTGCTGGATTTCGATGTGACAAAGGCTTTTGGACCTAACTGAATCTCACCATGGATACTAAAAGAGAATGTGGAAGCACTTTGCATGTCCGAACTTTATCGTGAACAATATGTCACTGGAAATAGGAGACCTGCCAGAAAATTGGAAGACAGCTAACGTAGTCCCAATATAAATAAAAAAGTGACAGGCAAGAGGCATTGAACTACAGGCTGTTTCGTTGTTTTTTTTAGACTCAGCTACTCGGAACAAAAAGTTGCAACCATGCGTCCCAATCAAGGCCGGCCTTGATTGGGGGTGAGCCGGTAACCAACAGAGCTGAGTGCTCTCGGACATGGCGAGAGCGGCTCTACCGCACGGCCGATGGTGCTGGATTGAAGTCCTCGTGCGAGGTTCCCTCGTGCTTGAGGTGGATCTCGTCCAGCACCCGCCTGTTGAGCGGGGGGAGTTTGCTCATGCTGTCCAAGTGAGAGCTAACGCTTTAGCCACGCCGTCAAGGGCCGCTAGGGGTCGCCCAGGTGCCAGCGGCATGTGAGATACATGCAGGAAACCTGGCACCCTTGGGCATATCTCACAAGCCTGCCCAAGGACGCATGGAGCCCGGGTGGTACGTCATGACCCGGTTCGTAGCTGGTCGTCTGAGACAGCGAGGGTATGAGGTGGTGCGGGAGGTGCGGGTACCCGATGGTGGAACCTTTTGTAAGCCAGACATCATTGCTTGCAAAATTAACGAGGCCATAATTTTAGACACCCAGGTCTCGGCTGAAGGCTTCCCACTCTCCCGGCCACACCAGAGCAAATGTGACCGGTATGGCACCCCCGAGATCCTTCAATGGGTCAGGGATTACACCGGTGCTAATGCAGTCTCCGCCTCCTCAATTACCTTGAATCGGAGAGGCGGGTTCAGCATTGAGAGTGCCCGTGTTCTTAAGAGGTTGGGCTTGACCAACGGAGATTTGGAGATCTGCTCCGTAAAAGCCCTAACCTGGACATGATTTATCGTATGTGGTCCAAGAACACGGGAAGGGGTTGATAATAACTACCCCTGGACATGGGTGGACTTTCCTTGTGCCCCCGACACCCAGAAGTGACTAGGGTGAGTGGACTCCGGCTAAGTTTACCGGACGTCATCTTGGGGTACCACTTCCCCAGTGGCTGATTTTGGAGATGGTGGGTGGCTCGTCCGAACCCGTGAGAGGATAAGCTACGGCTGGAGGGACACATGCGTGCATGTTCTCTGTATCTCCGGGGACTTGACTTTTTTCAAGCCAGGCATGTCCTCCCCGTGATATATCTTTTCCATGCAGGTATGCCATTAGAAGGTGATCGTCTCCTCAGGAGACGTTATTCATTCATTCAGTGACATGCCTATTTTATTTTGTTTCATATTATATTTTAATGTACATCCTTCTTTTTTATGCATCTCCATGTACCTTTATTTTTCTTTTTGTTTTGTACACAGTAGGTCACAACATGAATTTTAGTTTGTTTTTAGTTGTAATGTGTTTTTTAGGGTTATTGCTGCGGGGCCTCGCGGCCCATGCCTTGTGGCTGGGTCGTGGGGCTCTATAGCTAGATCAAAACCCTTTTCCCCCCGAAGTGGCAAGGGGAGTAAAAGGGGGGAAAAAATAAGGACCACGCAAGGACGCATGGTTCTTAAGGCAAGGACCACGCAAGGACGCATGGTTCTTAAGGCAAGGACCACGCAAGGACGCATGGTTCTTAAGTGTAACCATCTTCTGTCGTGGAGGTTCTTGCATAACCACCTCAGGCAGTAGCAGCAAGAAGCCTCACCACCAGTGTGAAGGCTCGCATGTCCAGTCCCACACGACAATGTCAAGATGCCATACTACTGTGATCGGCACCTCGCCTGTGTACCCCATCTGTCCTAACCATCACCGGAGCACTTGGGTGGGTGTTGACGACGGTCGGCCATAAACTGTAAGTACAGAGGTACAGTGAACACAGGTACACAAAGTACACATTTTGTGTTGCTTGTTTAATTGTCGCTCTTCTCTGCTCTGATCTCGGTGATCAGTCAGTGAATCTCACCTACTCAACGGCTGTAATGAATGAAGGACGTGATAGGATTGACCCGACTTTAAACACATGATATATATATGTTAGTAGTATCGAAGGACCTCTGATATGGAGAACCGGCATCTCCATGTAAGAGGTGGGCTTATATGGGAAAGAGGCCCACCGGAAGACCTCAGCTACGTTTAAAACACGCCAGCAAACGCGATCTCAAGCAGCTGAACATTGACATCAACACTTGGGAGGCAGCAGCTGCGGACAGAAGAGACTCCTGCAATTTGAGGGTGAACTGAAGAGGCAGGCGGAGGGAAAAAGAGACTTCAGACGAAGTCTCGACCACTGACGGACGCAACCGCTTCAGGGTTTATCTGCACTGGCTACAGTGCGACTTCACCGCCACAGCAGACGCTGCATCCATCCAGACACCCAAGGCACAACTCAATAATCCCACGGGATTGACGGATGCCTACTATATAGTACCATGTTGTTCTCTCTGTGGATTACTCAGTGCACGTAATGTCATTCTACACACATGACACATTCCGCCATTCCATTTTGCTATGTTGTTGACGGTCTCGTTGACAGATCAATTATGTTAACTTAATTGTGCATGAGTATTGCTTGTCCCATTAGTAATGTCATTGCACGTGCTCTGGTGATAAATCTAGTATCCAATTGACCTCGTGTGTCCCATCGTATCCCTGCAGTGATTGGAAGGCGAGCATAGATTGGTTTGTAACGACAGTGTTCAGTTGTGATTTGGCTCCGCGAGGACTGTTAAACAAATAGTTAGACATTCCGTATCTCTCCTTTTGCGTCATCAACTTGACACCAACCTCGAGTGAGTCGAGCACCCTATGTACAAGCAAGTTACTGAATAAATCACTTGTGTCACACTTGCTCTTCCCTGGAGCCAGTTCCAAGTACTGTTAGAACTGACTCCATGGAACTAGAACTGTTCACTTGTGCTCTGAACATTGCAAATTTCTTCGGTTTCTTCAACACCTGTGCAACATATTAGGACACAAATAAAATCAATTCTGCTGAGGACTTGAGTGAGGACCTTTAGAGTGCTTCAATTGCTTTAGAGGCATTCTTGCAAGCAAAGTGACGCTGCACCTGGTGAACTGAGAGGGCTCACGCTCAGGGGCGTCTCTGGCGACCACTGTACACAAATCTTGAACCCTTTGTTCTGTTAGTTAATGGATTTTAATGGAGTTTGTTGAGCCAAATGCAATTTGGTAACGTTGCAAGCAATTGCAGTCAAGAAAAAGTAGTATCCTAAAACGCCCACATAGCGACCACAATCTTCCGCATCACGCCCACACGTCCTCAGCCCTGACTATCACGCCCACACGTCCTCAGCCCTGACTATCACGCTCACACGTCCTTAGCCCTGACTATCACGCCCACACGTCCTCAGCCCTGACTATCACGCTCACACGTCCTCAGCCCTGACTATCACGCCAACACGTCCTCAGTCCTGACTATCACGCCCACACGTCCTCAGTCCTGACTTATATGGTACAGATACAAACAATTAAATAAACAGAATCTCGACATAGCTCGCCCGTTTAGGTGAAAATAAACAGACTGAACACCCCCCGGCGGAAGGTTCCAAAGGGGTCGTCCGCCTTCAGTACTCACCATGATCTTCTTCTCGAACTCTTCCTCGATGATGGAGCCGTTGTAGTACTTGTTGAGGGAGGCGGTGTCGGGGAAGTAGAAGCCCAGGCGGCACTCGCAGCGGTAGCTGCCCCGCCGGAACCCCAGACCAGGGATGGTCATACACTGAGGGTGGGAGAGATGGAGTGTTAGACCAGCGTAAGTGATGTCAGAGGAGAGGGTTCGTAAAGGAGTGAGCGAGGGTGTGAGAGTAAGAGAGTATTAGAGAGGAATTAGAGGAATGCGTTATAGACAAAAAGGTGAAGGGATGGAAGACGAGAGAGTATGATTCCGTTAGACAACCGTTAAAGAGGTCTTAGAAGAATGTATTAGAGAATGGAGAAAGTGGGTAGCTGTAAAATGTCTTGAAAGAAGCTGTAACTTGTATCATGTGTTAAAAAGCAATATAAATGCATTTGAGAGCAATGTATTGTATTAGCGTAGTCTATACTGCATCACTATACTGTCTTTTTGACAGCACGACTTTGAGGACTGAGTTATACCCACTGTGAGTCATGTGAAAGTGGAAAATATCTCGAATACTGCAAGAATACTTTCAGTATATAATAAAGCATTTAAATATTTTTAATCAAATATTCTCCTAAAATGAATATGTTTAGTGACATTGTGGTAAAATGGGCTTTTTATGCTATACTTTATCTCATACCTAATATAGTACATATATAAGTATTATACAAGGCTTAGGAACATATAAGTTTGGTTTCTAGCTTTATTTTTTCCGAACTCTACAAAAAAAGTACACAAAATTAGTTTACTTGGGCCCCGTTACTACATATTGGTGCGATCCGCCACACTGTTGCAAAACGTACTGTCATATAAAGAGGACCGGCTTGTTAAGTGAGGAAAATACAGACACTGACAAACGACAATTGTTCAGTTGACACAAGATAAATATCCAATTGAACATAATAACACATGGATTAAGAAAGCTGCGGAGGTACTCGCCACCTTAGAGGTAGTCATCCAACCTGATGACTACCTGAGGTGACTTAAAAAAATAGCATCGCTTTTGGCCGTTTACCCGTATGGCCGAAAGTGGTCGTAATATGAAATGAAAAAAAAGAAAAATAAATTGGTATTTATTTTGTCAACAACAGTAAGTTAAGAGTCCTCTGGTTAGTTAGGTGGGCAGGAAATTCTCATAAAGTTTCAAATTTTTATGAAAAATGTTAATTGAAATTTTCCTCTCCTAACCTTTCCGAGTAAGCCGGACGACTCAAACAGAAAACGGGACAGTACGTCACTTTTGTGAGTCGATTTCATTTCAAATTACTTCCACTTTTGGCCATAGCGCGCATAAGAGCCAAAAGTGACGTTACTTTTAAGAGGATGGGTTGAGTCACCACCCTAGAGGTAGTCACCACCCTAGAGGTAGTCATCACCCTAGAGGTAGTAGGGAAAGAGGACAAGATGGAGGGAGACAGGAAGAAGAGAAAATAATAGGAAAAGAAAGGGGAAATGAGGTGGGAGGAAGAAATCGTTAAATGGAGAACGAGAGGAAGGAACAAAAGTGGGAGAGAGAGGGGGAAGGAATGAATGTAAAAAAGAGAGGTGGGAAAACCATTTGGGAAGAACTAGAAGTGACAAACTGAAGAGTACACGAAAGAGGAAGAACGAGAACGAGGAGGAAATATTGTTTGAGAAATAGAAGAAATAGGAAAAATAAAATAAGATGAACGAGAGAAAAAATCGCTAAAGAGTTCTCACTCACGATATAAGTGCTCACTCACCAATCCACTGCTCACGACCAACACACAGCCCCACCAGGGAGCACTGAGCCAAAACACAGCCCCACCAGGCAGCACTGAGCCAAAACACAGCCCCACCAGGCAGCACTGAGTCAAAACACAGCCCCACCAGGCAGCACTGAGGCAACACAGCCCCACCGGGAAGCACTGGGTCAACACACAGCCCCACCAGGGAGCACTGAGGCAACACAGCCCCACCAGGGAGCACTGAGGCAACACAGCCCCACCAGGCAGCTCTGAGCCAACACAGCCCCACCAGGGAGCACTGAGGCAACACAGCCCCACCAGGCAGCACTGAGCCAACACAGCCCCACCAGGCAGCACTGAGCCAACACAGCCCCACCAGGGAGCACTGAGCCAACACAGCCCCACCAGGCAGCACTGAGCCAACACAGCCCCACCAGGCTGCACTGAGGCAACACAGCCCCACCAGGCAGCACTGAGCCAACACAGCCCCACCAGGGAGCACTGAGCCAACACAGCCCCACCAGGCAGCACTGAGCCAACACAGCCCCACCAGGCAGCACTGAGCCAACACAGCCCCACCAGGGAGCACTGAGCCAACACAGCCCCACCAGACAGCACTGAGCCAACACAGCCCCACCAGGCTGCACTGAGGCAACACAGCCCCACCAGGCAGCACTGAGCCAACACAGCCCCACCAGGCAGCACTGAGCCAACACAGCCCCACCAGGGAGCACTGAGCCAACACAGCCCCACCAGGCAGCACTGAGCCAACACAGCCCCACCAGGCAGCACTGAGCCAACACAGCCCCACCAGGCAGCACTGAGCCAACACAGCCCCACCAGGCAGCACTGAGCCAACACAGCCCCACCAGGCAGCACTGAGGCAACACAGCCCCACCAGGCAGCACTGAGGCAACACAGCCCCACCAGGCAGCACTGAGCCAACACAGCCCCACCAGGCAGCACTGAGGCAACACAGCCCCACCAGGCAGCACTGAGCCAACACAGCCCCACCAGGCAGCACTGAGCCAACACAGCCCCACCAGGCAGCACTGAGCCAACACAGCCCCACCAGGCTGCACTGAGGCAACACAGCCCCACCAGGCAGCACTGAGCCAACACAGCCCCACCAGGCAGCACTGAGCCAACACAGCCCCACCAGGCAGCACTGAGGCAACACAGCCCCACCAGGCAGCACTGAGCCAACACAGCCCCACCAGGCAGCACTGAGCCAACACAGCCCCACCAGGCAGCACTGAGCCAACACAGCCCCACCAGGCAGCACTGAGGCAACACAGCCCCACCAGGCAGCACTGAGGCAACACAGCCCCACCAGGCAGCACTGAGCCAACACAGCCCCACCAGGCAGGACTGAGGCAACACAGCCCCACCAGGCAGCACTGAGGCAACACAGCCCCACCAGGCAGCACTGAGGCAACACAGCCCCACCAGGCAGCACTGAGGCAACACAGCCCCACCAGGGAGCACCAAGGCAACACACAGCCCCACAAAAGGGTTGAGTTATCCAGCTCACGGGAGCCGGGACAAGCCGGTTACTTAGCGTGCAAGACATTCTTTTCACACGCAACCTTCTAAGAATATAACTTTGAGAACAAGCGAAACACTGTGGAGATAACATTTAGATCAAAGGAACACACTGAGGCCAGACTATTAAGAACAAGGAACATTCTTAGGACAGACCCTTAAGAACATACAAAGTATACAAGACCTAGTACCTTCAGGATTAAACATCACATACATACAACATCACTGGCCACGCAAGTTACGAAGAGCACACATCATCGAGAACACGCAAGGTGTTCACGACAGAACACGACAGAACACGACAGAACGCGACATAAAACGACAGAAAACGATATAACACAACAAAAGCTACAGAAAACGACAGAACACGACAGATATATTCGACACATCACAGCAAATAAAGTTCAATAAAAGCCGCAGAGGAACATGGCAAAGGAAACTGTTTTATAGATGACGTATTTCCGCAAATCTTTACCTGGGAATTATTTTTCCCCTTTATTGTATATATTAAAGGTTAATAAAGCTAGTATAATAAGAGTATTTAACGTCACACAAATCCTCATCAACTGGGAGGTATACTTTAGTAATAAAAATTGTGCAGGACTTTTAGTAAACTCAATGTGTATTGCAGGCGATGAGTCACAATAACGTGGCTAAAGTATGTTGACCAGACCACACACTAGAAGTTGAAGGGACGACGACGTTTCGGTCCGTCCTGGACCATTCTCAGGTCGATTCTCAATGTGTATTCACCGAGAAATTGAGTCGTTACACAAGTCGTTACAGGGATAGACGACTTGCGTATAGACGACTTCTAGCCGTTTTAGAAAGCTTAGAGCTTTCCCTTCCCATAGTTCAGGGTAAGCTTTACTCTCTAGTTTCCCTGGAATACGACCCGCCAAACGGTTAACAGCCAGACACACCAATTACCGCTGAACAAGCTCTTAACGGTCAAGGATTGGAGCGTATAAATTAGCATCTTCTAGCTCGAACTCGAACCGAGGCGTGGGGCGGGAAGGGAATGTAACTATTAAGAGAAAGCGCCAAGCCATTACGACTATATAGCACTGGGAAGGGGGTCAGGATAAGGATTTGGGATGGGACGGGGGGAAAGGAATGGTGCCCAACCACTTGGACGGTCGGGGATTGAACGCCGACCTGCATGAAGGGAGACCGTCTCTCCACCGTCAAGCCCAAGTGTTATTATCACTGACCCGTCAACCTGTCCTACAAAGAACGTCACTTTTCGCTCGTATGCGTTACATATGGCAAAAAATTGTCACTCTAGAAAATAGAAGCGGCTGGCGAAAGTGACGTACTGTCCCGTTTTCTGTTTTGGGTCCTCTGGTAGGTACGATAAGAGCACTTTTATTTGACCGTTTTCTTAACGGGAAACCTTAGCAGGACGGGCTGGTCCACCACCCGTTATGCTGCTAATAACTGACCTGTTGAAGGATCCGAAGAGTTATTGATGATAAATAACTTTGTATTTGATTATTTCGCCGCGGCCGTCTGTTGAGCAATGACTCAAACATTCTCACAACTTCATCCACTATTCTAAGATTCGTCCACACTTGATCTCGTGCCTGTCCAACCACTTGGGCTGGACGGTAGAGCGACGGTCTCGCTTCATGCAGGTCGGCGTTCAATCTCCGACCGCCCTAGTGGTTGGCACCATTCCTTCTCCTCCGTCCCACTCCAAATCCTTATCCTGATCCCTTCTCAGTGCTATATAGTCCTAACGGCTTGGCGCTTTCCCCCTGATAATTCTCTTCCTTCCTTGATCCCATGCCACAGAGTCATAACAAATTAGGAACTGAAGCACTTCTGCTGATTGTGAAACAT